TGGGGGAGCGGTGTGGGGGGAGGGTTGCAGTGGTGTGGGAGGGGGAGGGAGTGTGTGGGGGGTGGGGAGGGGGTGGGGGAGGATTGGAGGGGTAGGGAGGGAGTATGAGGGGAGTGGGGAGGGGTGGGGGGAGGGTTGAAGGGGTGGGGGGAGGGAGTGGGGGAGGGGTGGGGGATGGACGGGGAGGGGTGGGGGAGGGTTGTAGTGGTGTGGGAAGGGGAGGGAGTGTGTGGGGGGTGGGGAGGGGTGGGGGAGGATTGGAGGGGTACAGACGGGGTGTGAGGGGTGTGACGAGGAGTGGGGGGAGGGTGGGGATGGGAGTTGGGGGGACCCTGGGACCCTCGCCCAGCTCAATGTGAAGACTGCTGGGCCTGTGGACCTCTGGCTCCTTCCCGCTCCCCGCTGATATTCAGTCCCCGCTCCCCCAAAAAGGAGGGGGGTCGGATAGAGCCGGGCGTCGGGTTCCTGGCCCCGGGCCCCTGCGGGAAGACAGTCAGCGGGTCTTGTGTCTGTTGCCCCCTCCCCACCTCCCCGGGCGCAGGTCCAGGGCGGCGTGTGGCTGTTCAGTCCCGGCCTCTGCGACGCGCTCATGGCGATGGACGTCATGCTGTGCACCGCCTCCATCTTCAACCTGTGCGCCATCAGCGTGGACAGGTGAGTCCCTGCCGCCCGGCCGCGCGCGCGCGCCCCCTGCCCCGTGCCGCCCGCCCTCACCGCACCCCCCCCTGCAGGTTCGTGGCCGTGGCCGTGCCGCTGAGCTACAACCGCCAGGGCGCCGGGGGGCGTCAGCTGCTGCTCATCGGCGCCACGTGGCTGCTGTCGGCGGCGGTGGCGGCGCCCGTGCTGTGCGGCCTCAACGACCCGCGCGGCCGCGACCCCGCCGTGTGCCGCCTGGAGAACCGCGACTACGTGGTCTACTCGTCCGTGTGCTCCTTCTTCCTGCCCTGCCCGCTCATGCTGCTGCTCTACTGGGCCACGTTCCGGGGCCTGCGGCGCTGGGAGGCGGCTCGCCAGGCCAAGCTGCACTGCCGGGCGCCTCGTCGGCCCAGCGGCCCCGGCCCACCGCCCCCCGAGGTCGGCGAGCCCCCCGAGGCCGTCGCGCCCCCCGACGCCGTCCCAGCCGAGCCGCCGCGGCCGGCACCCAGGAGGAGGCGCGCCAAGATCACCGGCCGGGAGCGCAAGGCCATGAGGGTCCTGCCGGTGGTGGTCGGTGGGTACCTGCCCTGGGGTCGGTGGGCGGAGTGGAAGGTGTCAGTGCCCCCGGTGGGAGGAGGTGCCCAGGGCGGGCTGGGAGCCGCGGGGACCCGGGTTCACCGCGCCCTCCGGCCCCGCCCCCAGGGGCCTTCCTGGTGTGCTGGACTCCCTTCTTTGTGGTGCACATCACCCGGGGACTGTGTCCTACCTGCGCCGTGCCCCCGCGGCTGGTCAGCGCGGTCACCTGGCTGGGCTACGTCAACAGCGCCCTCAACCCCGTCATCTACACCGTCTTCAACGCCGAGTTTCGCACCGTCTTCCGCAAGGCCCTGCGCCTCTGCTGCTGGGCGGATCCCTCCGCGTGCGCCCACTGCGTTCTCTGCGAGGACCAGGGCCCAGGACGACCCGGCCATGCCTCGGGGGGCAGGACCCCAGTAAGGGAGGGGGTTTTGTACGACTAAGATTAAACAAATTCCTTCCTAAACACCCGCTGGGGAGGCTGCGGGCTGGGGGGTGTGGGGAGGAGCGGGAGGAGGGGCCTCTGCCCCACCTGGAGCCCAGACATCCCCCCCCCCCACCCGCCAGGCCAGTGAACCCCTCCTTCCTTCTGAGGAAGCCCAGAGAACAGACCCCACCAAACTGGCTCCTGGCTCAGGGTCAGGTGGGAGGGATGCCAGTTCTGCCCCTAGGCTGGGCAGGGAGGCTCCAGAAAGGCCCATTCAGCCTCGCCCATGGAGAAGCTTCCAGAACCAGACCAGCTCTTGCCTAAGAAGGTTTGGGCTCTGCTTGTGGGGCTGTCCACGGGCTCACCCATGGTGACTCACACCCTCCTCCAAACGGTTCCCTCCCTGACACACCGTGGCACCAGCTGCACCCCCGCCCCCAGCTGTTGCCCCTCTTTCAGTGGAGAGTGTAGACAGCTGTCCTGCAGGGAGGAAGCAGTTTCCTGAGATTTCCCCAGTGGGAAGGCAGCCACCGTGGGCCATCAGCAGCCGGGCCCCCTGCTTCTGCAAGGACCAGCCAAGCGTCCACTCCACTGTCCTTACAGACTCAGCAGAGCCAGGCCCAGGTCAGAGCACGGCTCCCGGCCAGCTCCCGGCTTTGGTGATGTCCCAGGCCCCAAGGAGATGGGGCCGGGTGGGTGGGCCCACCAAGGCAGCCTCCTCGATCCTCTACCTTGAGGCTGCCCGTGAGGTGGCGAGGCCCAGAACAGGGGAGCCAGGAGAAGGTGCCCGGCCTGAAGCAGGGCAGAGCCACCAAGCTGCCCCGTGTGCTGTGGCTGACTGGCCCCCCTGCTCACAGCAAGGCTCCTGTTCCTAGGGAGGAGGGGGCAGCTCTGAGCCCCTCCGACCAGGGACAGCTCAACCTGGACTTCATCTGGGCCCTCCCGGTCCTGGGGCCCCAGGGTTACTATTCCCGTGTCGGGGACGCTGTCTGTGGTTCGAGGCGCGAAGTTTTCTTGCGAACCTGAGAAATGACGGGCTGTGAGGCTGGGTGATACCTCAGCATGTTAAACTCTTCTGTGGACAGAGGGGGGCCGCCCCTTCCCTCCTGCTCAGGGTCTCAGTGGGAGTGGGGAGAGGGGCACCCAGTGGACCCTGGCTCTGGCGGCTGCTTGAGTTTCTGGCACCTTCTTGCCCATGAAGTGTGAGGGCAGCTGCAGCAGACACCGAGTCTCCCCACAGGGAGCAGCCCCGATATTCAGACAGGAGCCCCGGATGGCTGTCCCAGGCACAGACACCTGCTCCGAGCTGGGTCTACGGTCCCTCCCGGGGGTCTCAGACTTGGAAGTAAAGGGCAGGGACAGGGCCACTGGGGCCCTCAGGCTGAGGGCAGGGTCAGATTCGGGGCCCCACGTGCCCCCGATGCTCCCTTCACGCGTGTCCGTGGAGCCGCGCCATCGGGACGCGGCCAGCAACTCCCCTGCCAGCCAGCCGTGGGCCCCTCCCCACCGGTCTGCGGGCTGACCGACCTCGTGAGCTGCACCCACCCTCGGCGACAGAGCTGAGAATGGGCTGGGAGCTGCTGGGGACCCCACCTCCTCCCCGCTGGCCCTCTGGACAGAATCTGCAGCTCCCGACAGAGGGGGACAAGGTGGGCGAGGGGGACGGGGTGGAGCAAAAGGTACATGGGAGCCACAGGGGGCCTGGTGGACTGGGAGGCCCCCCGGAGGCGCCTCGGCCATCAGGCTCACTCAGCCGTGCCCGATGACGCCAAGGGTCACCCCAGCCTGCGGCGCCCTGAACAGCCCAGCCTGTGCTGACCGCCGGCTGACAGAGGCCGGCCCCTCGCCTGTCCCCGGAGGCTGGAGATGCCCTCAGAAGCCCTGACGTGGAACTCTGTGGACCAGCCGCGAAGCCTGGGCCCCCAAGGGCAATTTCCAGAAGCCTTCCCCCAGCCAGGGCTAAGAACACTTCACAGGCCTAGAAACGATACCCTTTGAAGCGCTGCCCCCACAACGTGCATTCCGGAGTGTTGTTTTAAGGAGTTGGCCGCCAGAGGGAGGCAGTGGCTCTGGGGCCCGCACGTGAAGTCTTTCCGGGCAGGCGGGTGGCCGGCTCTTCAAGCTGGGGGGGGGGGGGGGGCCCCCAGACCCCTTCTGCTGAGGCTGACGTGCCCCCCAGTCCCCTTTCCTGCCACCTCTACGCCGAGCAAACCCAGGGAAGCAGGGGGGTGGCCAGGGCTGAGATGTGCCCCGCCCCCCACATTGTCTGCAGCACTGCGCCTCTGAAGATTGTGCCCAGTGGGGGGCGGGCAGTCTGGGGGGCATCGAGGTCAAATCCCGGCGCTCACCACGGCCTCAGCTTGGGGCACATGCCCAGATTCCTCAGCCTCTATCTCCCTGAGAGGTGCTGGCAAAGGCAGGAAGGTGAAATTCGGTGACTCCAGTACATGCTAAACTCAGTAAAAGAAAATCCAAGCTTAGTCTGCAGAGGTCATGAGGGCAGAGGCAGCAGCTTCTGGGGAGCGGGACCCACAACGGGCTCCCTGAGAGCAGCCGACTGGGGTCTGTGGCGAGGCCAGGCCAGGCCCACGGACCCGAGGGCGCCTCTGGGAGCCAGGCTCGGCTCGGGAGACAGAGCAGCATCTCCGGGACCCCCATGCTCACACCCCTTCCTTCAGGACTTGGGCCACCCCCGCAGCTCGTTCTGGAGCCAGCGTCCCCAAAGCCAAGTCTCTAGGGTGCCACAGACTTGGGAGAACTTTCTGGAAGTAGGAGCCCAGGAAGGGTCAGGGCTGGGGGAATTCTCCCCCTCCCACGGGGGTGTGAACATGCACAGTTCGCAGAACCGGCAGATGAGCGTGAGAACCCAGGGAAGCGTGCCATCGTGCCAGCGCCCAGGGGCTGTGCCGGCTGCACACACAGGGCGTGTCTCCGGCTGGGGTGGGCCTTCACCTCCCCCCTGCCCCCGGAACAATGGAGCTCCCGAGCCTCACGAGCGCAGAGAAAACAGGGCGACGGCAGGCCAAGGGCTCGGGGGCCACGAGGGCACTTCTGGAAACCCGCAGAAGCTTCCAGAACACGGGCAACTTCCTCAGGCACCACCCTTGGTCAGCAGAGGAGGCAGGTCTCGTTTCCAGAGCCAGCCAAGTGCTCCAGGCGCCGATCCCTCTCTGGCCCCCTGTGCCCTCTGCCCCTCAGTGCAGGTGGAAAGACACAGGGCTGGCCTGGCCTCTGGGTGGTCGGGGTTCTCGGGGTATAACCTCATGCTAGAGAGAAGGAAGGCCGTGTGGCGGCGGCCATCAGGCAGCGAGTCTGGGCCGTATCACCTCAGAGACAGGGCCTGCGGCTCCCAGCAGGCGGGTAGCCAACGGCCGCCGGGGTCAGTGCCACCGCCCACTCGCTGGTCCACACACTTGGGAGTTGTGGCCTCCGGACTGCGCGTCAGGAAACACAAAGCTGAGGCCCCCCCACCTCCGGGGCATCTGGGAAGTTGGAGCTGGAGTCACCCGTCCAGTGGGGCAGAGACGTCCGCTTTATTGACAGACACGTTATGTACACGCGTGTTACGGCACACGACACACCCGTGGGGAAGACCAGGGGATAAAAAGAGCACCGAGAGAAGGCGCCAAGGGCCCGGGGCCGGCGTCCAGCCGCTGCCCCGACCTCCCTCAGGGCTTCTGGGCAGCAGGGGCTCATTTCCAAGGGCGCAGGTCACTTAGAGTCTGTTAACAACTTGACCAGCAAGCGTTTTCACCTCCTCAGCATCCTCCGGAGTCCCCGACCTGCGGCAGCCCGGCGGCACCGTGGAGAGGGGACCCAGGGACCCTTACACGGTGACTTTCTCCATCACGCTGTCAGTGACGTGGACTTCGTCCGCCTGGACGGTGACAGCCGCCGACTGGCCACACACGTGCTGGTGGTCCTTCCAGTCCTGAAAGGAAGGGCACGCCCCACGTGACCTGAGTGTGACCTGGGGAGCAGAGCCCGAAGCCCACCCCCACGTGGGAGGCGCCGGCTCAGATGGCAAACAACCGGGGTGAGCCCCGAGGACACCGACACCGCGAGGCCCACCTGCACTCTGATCCCTCTGTCGCCTGAGATACAGAGAAAAGAAAGTCATACCTGCAAAGAAATATTTGTACCCGGTGCCGTCGCCCACGGTGTTATTTATACCGGCAAAAACGAAAAAACAAAGCTGGGGCCAGCCTCATGTCCACAGAAGGGTTCAGTGGCTGTGGCCCACGAGAAGACTGGGGACAGGGCAGGTGTGCTGAGCAAGATACCACCTCCTCGTGAGGGGGAGCCCACCAAGTCCCTGGTCAGGGCAGATGCTGTCGGGCTGTTGGCAGGGGGAGAGGGGGCTGAGCTCAGGCAAGGCTGGAGCCCGTCTGCAGGCAGTGAGAAGCCACCTCTCAGCCCAGACTGGGGCTCTGGACGAGGACCCGGGGGCTGGACAAACGAGGACCGTGTTAGTCGAAACAGACGTAACCCTCGACTGGAGGTGAGGCTAGGGCTTGGTCAAGAAATGACGTGATGGCGGGGGCGGGTGCCTGGGTGGCTCACGCGGTTAAGCGTCTGACTTCGGCTCAGGTCACGATCTCACATTTCGCGAGTCCGAGCCCCGTGTCGGGCTCTATGCTGACGGCTCGGAGCCTGGACCCTGCTTCGGATTCTGTGTGTGTCTCTCTTTTTCTGCCCCTCTCCCGCTCGTGCCCCACCCCCTCAGAAATAAAGAAACGTTAAAAAAAGAAAGAAAGAAAAGAAACGACGTGATAGGAACGAACACAAACACGCTGGGCAAAAGCAAGTACAGATGGGGTGCTGTCCAGGACGGCAGGGTTCCGGCTGGTCGTCTCTGTGCTGTCCTACGTTTCCTAGGTTTTCTACAACAAGCCTTCCCTGTTCTCACAGTAAAATAATTATATCCCAAGAACAGAAGCCTCCCCGGGAGTCACCCACAAACTGTGGGAACGCACAAAATGTGTACAACTGCACGGGCCGGCCCGGGTCATGGCATCACACCGCACGTGACTGTGAGCTCGA